CATTTCCTGTAAGTTCTGATTACTACTTTAAATCTAACCTTTTCCAATGGACTTATAGTTATCAGTTTCATAATATCTCCGAACTCAGGGTGGACTTTCTTAGATCTCACAAGATTTTATCAGTATTCAGACACAACTAAGGCATTGTAAGATGAATCTACATAATTTTTCCGTTGCTTTCTTTTGTTACAGTTGAACGATAGGGTTTGTGGTAGCATGTGGCGTACGCCTTTCCAACCTGCTTTTCGTGGCATCACCCTAACGATTTAAAAAATTCCCTTAGTCTCCTGTCTAGAGCTGCATGGGACTTTTCTAAGATTGAAACAAGAAACAAAAAGAATGGAAAAGTTTCTGAGACAAATATATTTCTCTGGGGATTTCAAGATCGGATAATTCAATTTCGCGATATTTGTAGGTGAAATACGGCTGGTGGTTTATAAGCCTAATAACAAATTGTAATTCCCTCTATAGAGTGTATACATTCAATCAAAAGTTACGCTTTAAATAGCTTGGTGATAGCTCGTATCTGATAGAGCCTCTAATCGTTAGCCCATACTTTAGATACAGTGAATAATCTTATGTGAAATTGACTATGATTTCAGCTGAATGATCACTATTAATTAGCGATATATTATGACTCAGAGAGGCTTTTAAAATCCGTAACTAATTTTCCTAACTAAATATGAATCATATCTGATAGACTGGCTAAGAAAAGCCAGTTTTCACTGCTAACTTTTTGACATTAGGCTCTGGGTACATAATGAACCCTGAAGAGCTTCTACTTTCTTTGCATAAGCGCGATCAATTTGGCCTCCTGCATTTATGCCGCAGGCGTGCCTTAACCTGTGTACTTGAAAATCCTACCATTTCCTGCCGAGCTCCTTTAGGGGCCAACCTCGTTGCCCCCAACTGCAGGTCTGTTCTCCTCCCAGCTTAGTAAAATTCAATAAGGAGTGCAAAGTTCACTCATTCGGGACCAATCAATAAAATGCTTTCTTAGAAGGGTTGTTGCTCTATCCAGTTAGATAGAGAAGGCTTGTCGGTTTAGCTGGTGAGCATCGGACAAGTTTAGTGAGAGGGTATGTTAAAGTGTGTCATTTGTCGATAGACGCCTCAGCTTCTACACATGCAATCGAAGCTATCCGAGAAGGCTTAAGTTATTCTAATCCTGCCTTATGTCAAATATGCACTAATCAATATTATACCAACAAGTATCAGGTAATTATGCTTGCAAAACCGTGATTGGAGTATAAAATTCCTGCAATCAAAGTGTACGCTTAGATTACATATAAGCTTGCTCCTCAGTTTTTTCAGTTAATGCACACCATCAACAATAGATCCTCTAGGAAACTTTATATGTAACTAATATATCGTTGGCAAAATTTTGGAGTAGGGTTGATATTCCGTG